GAAAATAGATTTTGTAATAGTAATTGTTTGGAGAATGTGTGATAAAAAAAAATAGAGAAAAGTTTAAAATTTCCGTGTAAAGTTATTTCATAGGATCATGTGGTTGAAAATTAGTCTTGAAAAAAATGAATTTAAAAAAATAAAAAATTGAGCTCAAACATAAGTTTAATCTCTAGTCTATCCTGGTCCCACCTCGCTTCCGAAAAATCCCTAACAAGCTGAGAATAGGGATGGCCACAACAACCTATGACATCTCGTTGCCACCCCTCAGCAAATGTGGAAAATACAACAATTAGTTAATACGAACCTAGATAAAGATGGCATAAAAATTCGTTCAACCTAATATCCGCAAGATCTCATCATGGGGCGGGAATTACCCATCTAATCGTGTAAACGGGATGAGGGTCGTTGCCTCGAAACGAGTACGGGAATTATACGAAATACATGGTCCCCGTCCCACTATCTGCCCCGTTTAAAATTAATTTCAAATTTGAGTTTATTATCAAATAAAAAGATAAAGATTTATCATCATTTTTGAAAAGAATATAAATTGTTCTTAATAAATTAAAAAAGTAATAATATTTACTAACTAAATATATAAAAATAAAGTTAAAAAAAAAAAAGAATGAACAAGGCAAGGCACCTGCCTCTCCTGAACCCACCCCGTCTCACTTTAATCGAGTATGAGAGCAACGCAATGTAACAAAAATATTTAATGGGGCTGAGGAGGGTAATAACTGACTTGTCCCATTACCATCCTTGAACCTAGGAAAGTGTTGGGAACGATTGTAATAGATGCCCCCGTTTGACACCCATTAATTTCTCATTCTCATTCCCATTCTCATTCTCATTTTTCATTTCAACCACACATTCTTCAAATAAAGTAATATTACACANTTCCCATTCTCATTCTCATTCTTCATTTCAACCACATATTCTTCAAATAAAATAATATTACACACAAATCAAAAACTTTTCATCACTTTTCCACCACACATTCTCACATCAATCACTATTCCAAAATTTCTATTCTCCTTAAAATTAGATTCAAACACACCCATAGAAGGATGATGGTATTTAGCCTACAATGTGAAGCTGTTTTTAAAATAAAAAGTTTAGAGATAATTAGGGCAAATACTGAATACTAACTTTTAATTGGAAAATTTCCAATTTTTTTTTTTTTTTTCAATTTTCATATTTTTATTTATACCCAAACCGAATTTTTGGAAAAGTTTTTTTTTTCTATTATATAAAGAGCTTGTTTGGGAATGCTTTTCAAGTTTATAAGTTGGTTGAAAATCATTTTTATCCGCACTTTATAGGACCAAAAGCTTTTATCCATCTTTTATTCTACATCATTTAAGACCTACTGCTTATAGTATATTAAAAGTAGGGAAATTTACAAAAAAATGTTCAAATCTATACTTGTCAATTGAAGTCTAGTTTTGATAACTGTTGGGAATTTACTTAACATGCACAGCGGAAATTAAACAATTTTCAATTCCCAAACGAGGATCTGCAATGTGTTTAGATAGAAACTGTGATGAGAATGATACCTTTGATGAATTCCACAAACTCTTTTGCTTTTTCTTGAACTCCAATGATCACGATCTGCAATCCAAGCTG